CACGCCAAATGGACACACCAGCACACCGACCACACCCACCCTGACAAACCTAACAAGGACGAACACAGCTCGTACTACATAAACACAGGAAACGAGAGACCACAAAGCTCGGACTACGGACGAAACCGTGCACAGGGAGAAGGGAGACACAGCCCATGGCGACAACAGACAAACAGAGAGCAATTCCGTCCATGGACGAACGGACAGACGCACTGCATTTCTCAACAACAGACCCCTCCCATACGTGAAATGCAGAGCCGTTCATGTGAAAGACTATTTCCCAGGCTCTTCACACAAGGAGTGACGCTCAGTCAGCCACGAAACAGATCAGCGAGATCAGCGGAGAAGAAGGCGAGCACAGGTTTAAACGGCTCAGACTACGAGCGAGCCGTCCACGGACAGAAGTACCATCGAAGACAGTGCACCAAGAAACGGAGGCACTACCGGACACAATCAACCTCATACTGAACACAATCAACGACGCAAGCTGCCCGCCACAAAAAATGACTAAGGAAAGGGAGAGACAAAGACAGACGAAAGCAGATGGCCCGGACTACGAGCGAACCGTGTACTACAGAGAGACATTCATGCAGCGCAGAGCCACTCATGGGGAAACCATTTCCCAGGCTCTCCGTAGGCCTTACATTGAGTCACGCAGTACCCAGTCTTGACTTGAGCTGCATGCTGCAGACACAGATATGGACACATGCCATTTCAGAGATCGACATCTGTGTGATCGATTTTTCTCACCCACCTGTCTCCGGCGAATGCTGAGACCTCAGTTAGCCACAAAAACAGAGCACAGACAGAAGCATGGACTACAAGCGACAACCACCAACAAACGAAGGCACTACCGAGGACAATCGGACTACGAACGAAGAGCATGACTACCATGCAACGACCTACTCGTGAAAAGGGAGAGCCATTCATGCGAAAAACTATTTCCCAGGCTGTCCAAAAACGATGACACTCATCCAGTCAGCCCATCGGTCAGTCAGTCAGTTAGTAAGCTTGCGACGCGGTGTCGGTCTGCCTGTGTGCTGCTGGCGGTTTGTTGGCACCCCGAAGGGTGTTTCCCGCCACCGACACACACAAGAGACCCAGCCATCCATCCATTCATTCGTCCATCCATCAACCAATCCATGTCAGTCAAGCCCATCGATCAGCGCGTATGGATGGCCCCGCAACACGTCACACACATGTCTCTGCAAGTAAATGGGCTCTATTGTGTGTGTGAGTGCGTGTTAGCGCGGTTCAGTCGGTTTCGGCTGCCGGCGTGGTGAACGAGCGTGTTGTGGGGCAGGGCTGCGACCGCGCGAGCCCTCGGGTTGAGAGGACGACCAACTGCCTCAGCCACACAGCGACCCCTCTTACGGCCTTATACGGCCACCGCCAGGTGACACGACACTGACTGACTGGGGCTGGCTGATTGGTTGACTGGCCCGGCCTGCCCCGGCACTGTGTGGGCTGTGGACATCCATGCAGTGGACTATGTATACGTATCGACGTGTATACGTACAGCTATGTGGCGTACCTGGACCGCACTCATGTGCATGGTGCGGCGCGGTGTGTTGCCTACCTTTGCTCCCTTCAATGTGTCTTCCTTCTCTCTCTCCTGCGTGCAGTCATCGCAGAGGCGATCGGTTGCGAGATTGGCCTTTGTCAAAGAATGTTCGAATGCGTACTTGATCGATGGATGGCGGCAGCAACCAGCCAACGCGTCAACAGAACCTGCATACACATACTAATCTATGCGGCATGCGTTCACAGATGTAATCATATCGCCCACCAAAGAAATCGTCCGTTTCCTCTTGGCTAGGCGCGTCTGCCGCCTGGTCCTTGACGCGCGTTGTATCTGACGACAGACATCGCGAGAGAGTCATGGAGAGTGAATGCCCAGACGCATACATCCACTTGCAGGCATGTCCATTCGCATAGCGGGTACTTGATGAATTCGTCCAAGTGTAGGGTGGGCTGCATGGAGACATACACGTACTCGTACAAATGTCGCGGCTGGCGGTCGGTCGATCTACCTGAACACAGAGGGTGGGTGCCTGATGGAAGGAAGCACAGTGGCATCATATAGAGACGAGACACGTGGATCATCCATCCCCACCTGCTGATGCCGGCAGGCATTGCCCAGGGCTCCTTGGCTCTGCTGTCTTGTCAAGTGAGTACCCGCGTCCTTCCTGCCATGAATCGACAGTGCACCCATACATGGACGCAGGATGGCCACTGCACAAGAAACGTACATTCGGTGACGTATGGAGAAGGAAGCCTGCACACAGAGGTTGAAACGGCAAAAATCGTAGCGAAATGCACCACATGACATCCAATCGTCCGTGTGGCATCTGCACGATTGATCAATACCTCATTGTTGCGCGCATTCGCTTCCCGTCGGACTGCCCGTGACGGGGTGACAGCCGCCTGATTGCAAGGAGGGAAGGATACATGTGTACATACATACATACATACATATTCATCCGTAAAGTCTGCCTGCCTACAGATTTAGCCGCTCTGGATTTCACTCTTTGCCTGCAGACAGAGACACATGAACGCACCATCTGTATATCAATCAAATCACGCGCCTACCTTCCGTGGAACATCATTCGCTTGCTCGCGGAGGTGGTGTGCGAAAGTGGCAGTTTGACGTGCGTGTCCTGTGCATTGGCACAGAAGCATGAAGGACATTCAGACTCACGCTGCTCTGCTCTCCTTCCGTACATTCACTGGGATACTCCATTCGGCGCATCTGTACACACATACACATACACGGCTTACTTATGAAGGGGAGAAAGAAAAGCTTGTAAGTCGTGATATATCACCTTTGTGTGTCTCTGTGTCTCTCGCTGGATCATTTTTCCTTCATTGCCTCACGGACACAATGTCCTGGACCAAGACGCAGCATTGACACATCAGCTGCACACTAGTCAGATTGTGTGCGGGTCGTGTGTACATAGGCATATACATACCTTTGTCAGTACAAGTGTCAGTGGCCTGGTCACAAGATGACATCGGTGGAAACGGAAACTCTCCATGTGCTGAGATG